ACCTCAGTCCTGAGGTGCTGAGATCCCACACTTCTTCAGGGTGGAAAAGAGATTATTTGTGTTGGTTACTGTTTCCTGATCACTGGGGGGAAAAAAATCAAGTTTCCTTCAGTTTCCCTTTTGTTCAGGTACAGTATTCCCCATTTATTCAGCGACCTCCCTCAGCATTGTGCTGGGTGATTTCATCCCACAACACAGGAAACCAGTAAAATACAATCAAAATGGGATTCAATTGAGATGAAAACACAGCAGCTCAGAGAGTCTTACCTTAGCTGCCTTTTCTTGGCCATCAGATTGATTGCCCCTCGTTTCAGAAGCTATTTTAACACTGACCTTCCTGGGATTGTTTGACTCAAGACACTCACTTTCATAAAAGTTGCTATTTCTGGGACCTGGCCATCATTCTTGAAATGATGCCAGATTTTTGTGTGAAGCTAAGCCTTGACAGGGAGTGTATTATTGTTCTACTGACTTGGCAGAATGTGAGGGTGGAGGGTTTGGAAACTGTTAAGAAGTGACAGGAGAAGCAGGGGAATCGTTGGTTGCTCTTTCCAAAAGTTCCTGCAGCAATATGGATAGAAAAGAAAAAGGAGAATTTAATGTTCTGATGAAAATAAAAGATAACAAACTTTGAAGTGATGCAAAATTCAGTTTTTTAGCAGCTTTAGCATGATGCCTAAGAGAGATATTCTTCTTTTTAACTTGAAAATATCTGGAATTGTGCTCCTGTGCTCTGAGGAACTGGGCACTGAGCTGCCCCTGAGCTCCTGAAATCCCTGGCACTCATTCAGGGCAGGGGAGATTCTGGCCATTCATCAAGGGAACAAATATTACCAAGCAATATTTAGATTTCACAATGACATGAACATCTTGTAAAACTTGGAGCTGGCTCCTTTCAACCTCGTGTCTGTGGGGATTATTGCTGCTGCTGCTGCTGCTGCTGCTGCTTTTCAGCTTTTTTCAATTTGTGGAGCCCAAAATGTTTTCCAGGAGCTGATTTTGTTGGACACTTCTGGTGCTGACAGCAGCGTGGATGAGCTGGCCTTGAAGTCACTTCTCAGGAAATCTCTAAACCATCCTGAAGAATCCAGGATCTGTGGATTCTGTTCCAAAAGCCATTTTCTCTCAAAAGAAATTGTTCTCTTTGAGGAGAATATTTTTGTATGTTCTTCAGTGACCTCAGTGACTTTGAGAGGATTATTTTTATGATTAATCCCTCAGTCAGCAAAGCAGAGAGATTCTGTTTGCAAATGTCTCTGAGTTGATACCAATTCTTATGTAACAGCTCCCCAACTGGAGCTTTTTCTTCTCAACAATGAGTACAGTGAGTTCTTTGCCCATTTCTATTGAAAGTGAAGGGGATGCCACTAAAATTCTGATTTGAACCCTGTTATAATTGAATTCCCATTTCCCAGAAATGCTTTGTGCTTCTAAATTGTTCTGATTTTCTAAAATTTTGGTGTGAAAAGGGCTTGAATAAAAAACACTTCAGCATCCTGCAGATTTGTGTATAAAATCCTGTCCTGGATTCCACAGTCATGGAATGGTTTGGGTTGGAAGGGACCTTGAAAACCATCTTGTTCCACCCCCTGCTTGGAGCTCCTTCCACTTTTCCAGGTTGCTCCAAGCCCCATCCAGCCTGGCCTTGAGCACTCCCACCACTCTGGGGAAAAAAAATCCCAAAACAAACTAAAAAATAACCCAAAAAAAGTCAGTATTTCCTCAGAAAAAAATTGAACCTGAGTTCAATTCTTCTGAGGGAAACACAACCTGAGGGCTTCAGCCTCCCTTGTCACCTTTTTAGGTGGCATTTAATTCAGTTTTCATCTGCTATCTGTGTGGGAGATGTGAGTTTAGACAAAGAGGTGTTGTTTGAAGCAGTAGCAGAGGAAGGGTGTAGATTTTGGTGTGGACAAGAGAAGATACTAAAATTTAATCTTTGTTTTCAGGACAAAATTTAGTGCTTTACTCAAACTCAGATCCTTTGTTTTGAGCTTGTGTACCTGTACCTGCAGATATTTGTGTTCCACCCCTCCTGCTCCATCTCTGTGCCATGCAAAGTAGAAAATATTCATTTTAATTGGTCATGTTTCTTTCTTTTCCAGGATTCCAACAGCGTTGTTGCTGCTCTCTTTATAGACTTCAAAAGTTCCCTGCTTCCTCATCTCCCCATTGAATTCCACACCCAGAACAACTTTCTGGTGATTGCACTTTTCCCCAAAAGAAAGATTTATAAAGCTTTTTATTCCCAGGTAAAAGGAAAAAAAAAATTTGTTGGGGTGGGGGAGAAACCACATAATTGCTCTGTGTGTGTTGAAGATGTGTGAGAAAAACTCAAATTTCTGTAAGAATTTCCAGTGCTGGTGCTGCTTGTTGTGTTTAATGCTCCCATGTGCTTTCACTTTGCCTTCTGGAGGCAGCCAGGGCTCTAAAATCTCCTTTTCTGAGCTGCATTTCTGGTGTCTAATTTGCTGCAGGGATTGTATGGAGTGGCAGAGGTTCCATTGTGTGTTTTTGTGGTCAGACACATTTGGATCTTGATCCTTGGGGAAGCGGAGTTAAAGTTTTTCAGTCTCCCATATGGCATTGTGTTACTCCCTGAGTCGATTGGCTTCTTGCATTGTGCTGCAGAGGCTTTTAATAAACCCGACTTTATAACAATAGTGCTTTTGAGGAAATGAGCCTGGAGATTTTAGGGCTTCACAAGGGTTTTTAGGATGTGCTCATCACACTGGCTTGGAAAAGACCACCTAGCTCAGTGAGCAGTCCCCACTGGTCATATTAATGGTCCCATAAAATGTCTCTTCCTTTTATCTGAAGTGTTTAAATTCCTCCCACTGTTCCACTCTGAATGGTTGGCAATCTGTTGTTTGTTTGTATTTGAATTTTCAGCCTATTTTATTAATTCTACTTCTATATCTGTTTTATTTTTCTTTTCTCTACACCAGAACACATCCTCGAGATGCTCACAAATCTCAGACCTATTCTTTCTGCTTTATTTGGCCTAATAAAACAAAACCAGATTCTTTTCAATCTATGCCTATAAAATGTTCTTTTTTTCCTCTGATAGTTGTAATGCTTTTCTTTTGATCTGCTTTTTGGCTGTAGATATCCAAACTGTTTGTAGTATCTGAGATGAGGGTGTTTGTTTCCTCTGTTGCTTTTTCTCAGGGCTATTTATTCCTGTCCTCCTTTGAATTAATTTTTTTTGGTGAGCAGTTCCACACTGAGGTTCAGTTTGGGCAGTTTAAGTTTTTTATTTGGCACCACACCAGTTGCTTTGCTCAAGCAGATAAAACAAATCTTTTGTCTTCAGGGTGTTCTCTCATGAACAAAACTCTTCATCAAATTGACTCTCCCTGATTGTGTAAACCATGGAAATATATTAAAGTATTTTGTCAGTATTTACCTTCAGGTGTTTATTGATTTCCTTCAGAATTCCTTCTGAAAGTCTCTGTGCCTCACAGGTTACAAAGATTCACTAAAATTTAGATGCTGCTTCTACTCTTCTCAATTATTTGGCTTGATATCTCACTCACTGGAGCTGTACTTGGATTATTCCAAACCTCCTGGAATTAGGGAATTGCAGCTGCCCTGTTACCCAAATCTGGGTTTGTTAAAGACTGAGATGAAATCTGAGGTGATGCCTTTGCTATCCTCACTCTAAACGGAGCAGGAGGAAAATTTATTTAGGCTTTGGGATGTGTTGATTTCTCTCATTTTTTTCTTTGATGCCAAAGCAGCTCTTTTTTAAACTTTCTTGAAGTTATACAAGAGGGTCTGATATATTTCTTCTGGGCCTGATATATTTCTATATTTCTAACACTTGCTAGCCTGACCTGTGTTTTCACTTTATCCCCAACCCTTTGACTCTTACAGAGCACAAATTTCCCTTGACCATTCCTTTTTTCCATCTCTCCCAGGCATTTCTTTCAGTCCCTTCTGTGTGTTTTGAAGTGGTTGTTGTGGATCCTTTTGCATGAGCAAGATTGCCTTTGTTAATATCAAAAGTATATTTTTATTTTGATGGTTTTTATCTCCTACCCTTGTGTTTGGGATGCTGAGTTTTTAATGGGAAGCAGTCGTGTCCCCCCCAGTTGTTTTGTCTTGCAGACAGTTATTGTGAAAAATGACAATGGCTGTTGCCTTTACTTATGAAAAGAAGGGAAATTCCAAACACTGACAGGACTTTGTGATTCATCTGAATCTGATTTTTAGGTTCCCAGTGCCATTCAGATTAATGGGTCTTGGCTGGAGCAGTTGGATGGGAGCCAGAACATTCCCTGGAGAAACGAAGGGTTTCCTTTTCTTTTGGGAGGGAACAGAGTTTTTCTTCAATTTTGAGTAATGATTGCTGCAATCTCACCTCATGAAAATTGCAGCAGTGCTTCAAAGAGACTTGAATTAATTCAGTTCCTTCTGTAGAGCACTTGGGCCATAAACATCTACATTTCTATCAGGGAAAACCAGGCCATATCAGTAAATTCCTAAAGCTCTTCCAGTTTAGCCAAAGAAAATCTGATCAGTGGATTTGAATTTTAAAATTGGAAGGGACCTCAAGACACATTTCATTCCATTCTCCCAGGTTTCTCCAAGCCCCATCCAACACTTGGACACTTGCAGGGATGTGTCCACAGCTTCTCTTGCAGCAAAACTTTTATTGTGCAATATTTAATGGCTTGTGAAAATGTGTCTGTATTTTTAGGTGAGCAAAACCAATTCCTAAACAAATTCACAGCGAGTTTGAGAAAATAATGACACTCATGCATAAATCTGCTTTATTCCAGGTTTTCTCTTCATGGCATAACCAGACAAACTCAGGATTATCTTTAAGGGTTGTCCCAGAAGAATTGCTGTCTGAGGAACAAAAGAGGCTGTAAGTTCCTCCTAGTGCAGTTACACAGAAGCTGCAATCAGAAAAATGCTGTTATTTATTGGGTTTGATAATAATAATTAAATTCTGATAATTATTTAAAAAATGGTGCATTCTTAGTGCAACACTCATATTTTTTTTGGTACCATTTAATATGTACCCATGTGATTTAAAGAAGAGAAATTTTTAGGTTTCTCCTTTAACTAATTAATTAATTAATTTCCTTCATTTAGGCATTCCAGTGTTCAGAAGCTCTTCAATGCCTCTTTTGCTTCAGGGGAAAGATGCAGGGAGCTGAAACTGTCTGCTGCCATTCCAGGATTGGAGAGGTGAGAAATTACTTTGGTGTCCAAGGGATTCATTCTGTCAGAAATGAGACAAAACTGTTTTGGTAGATGTGATAGCCATCTAAAAATATTTCTTAAATAATTCTCTCTTTACATTAGGATGTTTTTATTCTGAGATAAATTATTTCCTCTCTAGCTTGACCTTTTCATGCTCTTGTTTTAGTAATTTCCCAGCTATTTATGTGGATGAAATCTTTTTTTTTAGTAATTTCCCAGCTATTTAGATGGATGAAATCTTTTGCTGTCAATTGTAAAGAAATAAACCTTTTATTTTTGGAAGGTTTGTGCAGCACTTCACAGTCAGCAGTGTCAGCACCAAGCCAGTGATGAGGGCACATCTTCCTGTCCTCCTCCAAGAGTCAGAAACCATTTCTGACTGCAAAGCAGAAGGTGATAAGGTAAGGAAACAACTCCACAATAATTCCTTCCCCTCACATAGAATATTTGGAATATTCTGTCAGTAGTTCTGTTGTAGTGTGATAAAACACTAATCCTGTTCAGCCATGCTCTGCCTCCTCCTCCTCCACTACCAGCAGTTTTTTGTCCTTTTTTTCCCAGGTTATATACTTAATTCTTTTCCATTTAAACAATCTTTTGGAAGTGCAAATGGCCTTTCAGCCACATGAAAGAGAGGCAGAAAATGAGGTGTAGATCTTTAAGTGAAGTGTTTTCTCTAATGTCCAGAGAGACTTTGCCCTAAAGCAGCAGCTTGTTTTTATGAATTACTGAATAATTTAACTGAATTGTTCTCTGGAACATAAAAGTCCTTTAAATAGCATAGAGGTAGCACATGATATTTAACATTTGCTGATATTATCTGTATAACAGTCCTTTCTCTATAGGGGCAATAACAATTGTCCAGTTTAAGGTGGGCTTTAAATAGCATTTTCAGAGAAAATATTTCCTTGGAGCTTCCCAGCTTTTGAAATCTGCTGAAAACAAAACCAAGCTAGCAGAAATATAATCTTTCATTGCAATATTGCTGGGGTCTGGTTCAGAGACCATTCTGACAATTAATAAACCCTTAGGAATGTTTTAAATCTGATTTTAAGGTGGGTTAACTGTGGATTTTTTTTAAAAAAAAGAAAAATCAGTATGAATCATAGCAAACAGACTTTTTGTGTCTGCACCAGTGTTTCTGTGGTTATTTTGTGTTTAGACTTGCCTTGTCCTGTTGCTGTGTTGCAGGTGATCATCACCATCCTCACTGGGCTGCCCGGGTGCCGTTCCAGCGACCTCTGTTCCTTCCTTGTCACTTTTACCAAGGAGCATGGGAGGTTGGTGCAGCTCTGCTTACCCTGATCACCAAAAAACAGCTTGGCATGAAGGAAAAAAAAACCTTAACCACTGTTTTATTTAGGTTTTTAAACCTAATTTCAGACTGATAGATTCACCCTTAAATTTATACATTTAGGCAGGAAAACAGCACAGGAGATTTCTTTGTTGCCTGTTCCATGTGGTGAAGAGCTTCCATTTATTGATTTGTAGTGATTCTAAAATGCTTTATTTCTTCTTTTTTTTTTTGAGAAAAGACTGTACTAACAGTGCTTGCCACAGCATGGTTTTTAATTTAGTATGATTTGAGGTGCATTCAGGACATCTGTTCTATGGCAATGAGATAAATCTGCTATAGGAATTTGCCACTCTGTGTCTTGATAGAGCTTCTGAAAAATAAAAAAAAAAATCTTACCCTTGTAATTCTTACAGCCAAACACCTTAGCATTTAATCTTAGCTATGTTCTGCACTGTTCTTACTTTTAACTCAATTTTATCAAGTTGATTCAGTGCAGTTTTGTGGCTCTGTTATAGGGCAAACACGTAAGGTGACTTTTGAAGGTTGTGTAATAACACATCTCCTCATGTTTTCCTGCAAATGTCATTGTTACTTTCCATTTTTGCGCTGAAATATTTTCATGCCCAGAGTCTTGAATTGGATTTGTCTAATTTCTGTTTACTGCATCACTGCCAGTGATCAGAATTACTTATATGATGTACAGCTTTGAAAAAAGCTGGTGAGCATTGTTTTATTGAAAAACAACAAAAAACATCCACAAACCCCTTTGGCAGCCATGTAAAGAATGTGCATATGCTGGAAATGATAGAAAGCCAAATAAATTCCCCTTCCCCACGTGGAACAAGATCATGATGAGAGATGTGAAATCCTTGGCCTTGTCAAACTTCATTTTGGTCTGTTGCTTGAAAATGAGCGTTCTGGTTTGAAAGCAGTGAGAGACTCCAAGTCAGAAATATAATTTATTAGGAAAAGGGAAAAAAAAAACCCCAAATACATGCAGTAATACAAAAGAAAAATCCCTGAGAGAGTCAGAACCCAACCTGACACCCTGTTGGTGGCAGTCCAGTTGGAATTGTGGCTCAGCCCTCCTGCAGTGCCAGCTGTGGCTCTGCTGCAGCAGGGATCCTGCACAAGGGGGNTCAAAGTGAGATTTTCCACAATTTCTGTTTGGAGAGTCCCAAGACTGACAGAGGCAGTTGGGGATTGGGGAGATCTGACAAAGCCAAAGACCAACAGGAGTATCCTGTGCAAACTTCCTTAAATTTCTCCAGAAATTCCTGCCACCATCTGTGTGCTGTAACTCCCTTTTGTCTCTCTTTTCTTTATTTTTTTTTTTGTCTTTCTGTCCTTACTTTCTTGCATAGAAGCTGTAAGATGATACCTTCCTAGTCCAAGGGCATCCCTTGTGAAACAATTTCATATAGAACACAAATTAAGACATCACCATTGTTAAATATTCCCATTGTAAGTTTGGGAGCAAAGAGGAGCCATTATTTTCATACAGCTTATGTATTTTTAATCCATCCCTCCTGTTCCTTTCCTGCTTCCATTGAACATGTTATTCCCCAGGCTGCAAGGGTTCTTTTCTTTAGAGGAGTGTATAAATAAAGACTTAAACAAAACTGGGTGGTCTTCAAAATGCATCTCTTAGAAACAGAGATGGCAATGGCGACTTAAATAAAAAAGGTTAAATTTGTTCATTACTGAAGACTTGGAGGCACCTTCCAATTCTCAGGAAGTTGTTTTTCTTTGGATTACACTCCCTGTTTTGTTATTTTTTTTTTTTTCTTTTTAACTTAGAGCTTTTCCAGCTTATCCTGGACAGTTGTGGATCCTCTTCAAGGCCAGGACTCAGTGGCAGCTCTGTGGCACAGCCACAGCGTGGTGGGGGTGACTCAGGAACCCCAGAATGGTTTGGGTTGGAAGGGACCTCCAAGCTCTTCTCATTCCACCCCCCTTCCACCATCCCAGGCTGCTCCAAGCCCCATCCAGCCTGGCCTGGAATAGTCCAGGGGTGGAATTATTATCTTATTCATGGTATAATTATCTTAGTCATACTTTTATCCTAATTTCATGATTAATATCTCCAAACCTGATACTATTTCAAGCCTGCGCATGGCTTAAATTTCAAAGAGTGCTTTGCTGTTCTTTTTCCCTTTTTCCTCCTCCTCCAAGAGCAGACATGGATGTTGCTGAAATTGGAGTGGAAACTTTAAAAGAGAAATAACAGTGATGGAGATTTGTGCTGTTAGTGAAATTCTGGCTTGGAAGGGTCAGTGATGCAAAGAGCAGTGACTGGGAGTGTGTGGTGCAATTCAACAGCCTCAGAAATATTTGGTGCAGGAATTTGTGTGTAAAGCAGCCTTTGCATGGATTAATGTGATTTAAGACTTGTTAAAGACCAGGAATTGGTGTGATCAGTTGTTTCATTTTTGCTTTGAATAGTTGGAGGCAGAGGAAATGCATCCTGGCTCAGTTGTTCCTGGATATTGGAGATTTTCTGTTCTTCCTTCCACTCCACTTGTAGTCACAGGAAAGTGTCAGAGCAAGGCTGCACATCTTGAGCAAAGAAACAACATTTCTTGTAAAAATGACAGAATTGTTTAGGTTGGAAAAGGCTTCTAAGATCATCAAATCCAATTATCAACCCAGTTCCCCATTACCCCTGTCAAGAGCCACATCCAAGTGTTCTTTGAACACTTCCAGGGATGGGNAGGCAGAAAACAGAAGTTTTGTGTGCCAGCTGCTGACCTGCCTTGCTCCCTGTGTGTGCCCCAGGTGGATTGTGTATCGGCAGACCATGGACAGCCCGCAGTGTTTCAGTGCCTCCCACTTCCAGCGCTTCCTGGCTGGGCTCCTGGAGGCCCAGCAGAACCTTGGGGTCCATCAGCCCACCCTCAAGAGCACTGGGAAGAACAACAGGCTCCTGGTGGTGCTGCAAGGGTAAGGAGCTGTTGTGTAGAATAAGGCAATTCTGGTTTATATACGGACCAAACTCAGCTTTTCTGTCCCTGTTGGTTTTGTTGCTTCTGTTAAAATGGTGTCCTTAGCTTTCCTTCCATGGTCTGGGTGCACCCACAGCCCAGAACCCCTCTGTGGGCAGCAGGGGAGGGGGAATTCTGCCCCTGTGCCCTGCTCAGGTGAGACCCCACCTGCAGAGCTGCCCCTGCTCTTAGGTCCCACCAGCAGAAGGAGCTGGAGCTGCTGGAGAGAGCCCAGAGGAGGCCACAGAGCTGCTCTGAGGCCTGGAGCCCCTCTGCTCTGGAACCAGCATTGGAGAGCTGGGGGTGCTCCCAGAGAGAGCTCAGAGCCCCCTGCAGGGCCTAAAGGGACTCCAGAAGAGCTGGAGAGGGACTGGGGACAAGGGATGGAGGGACAGGACACAGGGAATGGCTTCAGATTGAAAAGGGGAAGATTTGGGGTGGGATATTGGGAAGGAATCCCTGGCTGTGAGGGTGGTGAGACCCTGGCACAGCTGTGGCTGCCCCTGCATCCCTGGAAGTGTCCAAGGCCAGGTTGGAGCAGCCTGGGGTAGTGGAAGATGTCCCTGGTTGTTGCTGGAGGTTGAATTAAGGTGACCTTTAAAGGTCCTTTCCAACCCAAACTGTTCTGTGATTTTGACTCCAGAACTGCCAGCAGAGATCAAAGTGTCAGAAATCTCGTTGCCTGATAGAGCAGGTGATAACAGAGGAGGGCTTGGTGATGTGTTTTGGATAAATGCCATTTTCCTTGTGGGATAAAGGTGAACACTGAGCCACCTACATGTGTTTGACATTTCCATCTCCAATGTAGCATTTGAGAACCAGGATCATCTTCTGAGTCATTAGAAGGTGACACAAACCAGGGTGAGGGAGGCACTACCCTGACCCAGCTGCAGTGATTTCCAGCTCATCCTTCTCACTGAGGGTGTACAAATGGAGCTCAGCATTTTCTTCATTATGGTCCATTCTGATAGTGTTAAAAACCATCCTTTTTACCATGTTGGAGCCAGGTTGATTTAATTTTTTTTTTGTGTAATTAGTAGGGTTGGTATTAAATCCATTGATGGGCAAAATAACTGATAACCTGGTAGCAGCACTGGCTTCAGGAACAGATAATTGGAAGTTTTTAATTCTTTATGGGTAGTTGGATGTTGGTGTAGACATTCAGAGTAGCTGGAATTCTCTAAATATCCTATTCAGCTGATAACTGAATAAAAATTTGTAGATAAAAGTTTGTAACTGGCTGAGAAATAAATACCTGAAATTAAAACTCAGGTTCACCTAAGCCTTGATGTCATACAGAAATGAAATGCAAGAGTGGTGAAGTCCTGATAAAAAATGGATGCATTAGTGGTAGAAACATATTTAAATTGGGATGCTGATAAATGAGAGAGGCTGTTATTTTGTTCATTTTTTAACTGAAATTGTGCTTAATTTGCTTGGCATGAAGTGTTTGTGTTATATTGTGCTTTTTGTGCTTTCTGCAAGCTGCCAGTTGTTCAGTGCAAGGTTTACACTGTGTTTTCTCTGGATTGTTAATAATTTAATTTTAATGTAACCTCCAGTCAGTTTATTTGCTGGATTTGCTTAATTTATTTGGATTTGCCAAGCTCTGAGCTACTTTCAATCTCTTTTTGTAGCTTTTTTGGAAATCCAGTTTTCCTCCAAGCCATCAGTTTCTTCCTGAGCAGGGAACTGTTCTGGATCTCTGAACCCGTTTTTCCTTTTGGATTCTTGCAGGTACACTGATGTTATTGATGTTGTGCAAGCTCTGCAGACTCACCCTGACCCAGATGTGAAATCTTCTTTCATCATTGGAACAATCAACACCTGTGTGGAGCCTCTGAGCTGCTACATGGAACACAGGTGTGCTTTGAAATATTTGTACACATTTAAGAACAGATATGTCCATTTTTGGTATCACTTTTATAATAATTAGTGATTTGTGATGGTTAAAAGCCACTTAAATCCCATGAAATTGCTTAATAATGCATCTTGGAGGAGCTTGGAAGTGCAGTTTGGTTTATGAGGATGGCACTTGGTTTCCACTGGGTGTATAATTATATAAAATATCAATAGAAGTTCAGCTCTAATAGGAGTTCAGCTCCTAGAAGAATAAAGTTTGTGTAAATATAAATCTTCTGGTTAAGGACTTTGTAACTCTGAATAATTCTCTTTCTTGCAATCTTGTAGTAAGTCAGATTAAAAATGGAGATGTGCATCTCTTGGGTTATTGATTCTGCCACTACTTTGGGATGTTTAAAAAGAATTTTCAGGTTTCAGATATGGAATTGAAGGGAAACAATGCCTGAAATGGGGAAGGGAATGACAAAGCACGGAAGCCAAAGCATTGCAAGTGTTAAAATCTGATATCCTGGGTTACTGCAGAGCCAGGGTGGGGAGGAAATGGTCCCAGAGCCAAGTCACTGACCTTTGCAAATAGTTTGATTTCATAGTAAATGTGTGTGCTCCAAACTTCAACAAACATGGGAATCATTTCTCAGACCTACCTGTAAAATTGTAACGCTCCAATTTTTTAATTATGCCTTGCAGCTGATTTGATAAAAGTAAGTTCCAGCAGTTAGAGTTTTTGGAGTTGGTAGCACTGCTTCTGTTTGTGATCCAGCTGTGCATCACAGCCTAGAGGAGAACTGCCCAAGCAGTTTCTGAAAGTGCATTCCTGACATTTCCTGGCTGTTTTTAAACACTAACCAAGGTGCTGCTTGTGCTTTGCAGTAGTCAATAAATAGACTTTACCTTGCTGCTTCTTCTTGTCTCTGTGACAGAGATACCAAACAAATATTAAAGATTACATAAAAAAATTGGTGAATTGATGCTGGAGTGCTGTTTAAACTTGTCCTTTCCATAATTCTAGGAAAGACAAGTTCTATTTCTGTTTTATTTTTAACTTACTAACCTGTTACTAGTCCTGTGTAGTGTTTAGCAGCAGCAGCCTGCAGTCCTTTCACACTGTTTTTCTCCTCAAGTGCAGAAGCAATTGAAGGCAGAGGCTCAGCCTGTGCTGGAGATTATTTCTATTTTCCTTTGGAGTTTGTTCTGATAAGAATTTCCCAAATAGCCACACAGTGTCCATGGCAAACCTTGCAGTTGGGAAACTTTGGTGATTTCACTGGGAGAATGGAACAGAGTGGATTTCATGTCTGGCTTGAAACTTGCACTCAAGAAAATCAAACCCATTTCCTGCCTCAGAGTTCATCCCTGTAGAGATCCAGTTCTTCCATGAGCTGGCATGAAGCTTTTCCCCATTCTGAATTAGGGGAGAGGGGAAGGGAACAGGTAAATTTCTCTTTTTGAGGTTTTGTGTCCATGACAAAGCTTCTGAAAAACATTGTCAAAATTTTTGTCAAAAATTGTCAAATTCTTGTCTGGCACAGCAGCAGAAATTTGCATTCTGTACATCCAGTCTTTCTCTGGAAAGTTCCCACTCTTTGAAAGGCACAATTCTTTAGGGCCAACTTTAAATTCCTATTGTTTAAATAAGAATTAAAATAACATTATAGCATTTCTGCTTCAATTCTTAGAGTTCTGCTTCTATTTCTTAGAGTACAGAAGAAATTACATGGTGGGAATTAGTTCTTAAATCTGTTGGAGAATTAAAACCATCTACAAAACTGATTTTTGGGGAAAAAGTCCTGAAAGACATAACCTGTGAGGATGTTGCAGTTATATGGATTGAGGAAAAGAAGCATGAAAATGGTTTGGTTTGTGAGATTTTGTCAGCATCCAAGTGAATGTAAATGTTTTACTTAAATAATAATATCAATTTTTAATATGTGAACTTTTTGGTTTTTTAGGCTTCTTTTTCCCAAGTTCTTGGACCAATGTTCCCAAGGTATGTGTCACTTTTCCTGACTTTGAGCTCTACAGAATTGGTCATTGTTGAAGGAGAAACTGCAAAATGCCCAGGACAAGAGTAGCTGATTTTCTTGCAGTCAAAATGCTGCAAGAATTGCAAATAACTGAGCCATGTGGCCAAATAAATACCTGTATTTATTATTTTGTGCTATTAATAGATGAGACAGAGTCACGATAAACTCTTGGAGGTAAGAACAGACAAACTCTGTCAAACAGGCAGAAAAGGTAAAAATTCTGGAGCATGATCCATTTGGAAGTCCTCATGTGCAGGATGGGTTTGTTAAAATCATGAATTAAACTGCTCACACTGAGCTGTTGGAACTGGAGTGAAATGGATTGGACTGGAGTTCCACCCTCCTTTGGGGATGTGTGAGGAAATGGAGCTTTCCTTTCATTTCTGCTCTATTAAAATGGCAAAATGTGGGGTGACCTCGTTCCCCAAATCCTCCTCTTGGTGTGGCCTGGAGGGTCCTTGCAGGGTGTTCAGTTTTATTCCTGAACTCAATCTCTGGCTGCACTTTCCTCCTTGCCAGGCTTGGGAATTAAATCAGGATTTGCCATAATGGGAAATGATCCTTCCTCACTTGCCCTCAAATCTCTGCCCCAAGTGTTCAAGGCAAGGTTGGGATTATTTTTGGGTTTAATTTTGGGTCTATTTGGGTTTATATTGGGTTTATTTATATTTAATATTGGGTTTATTTTGTCTTCATATTTAAATGCTGTTGTAGGAAAATCAGAGTAGGATTCTGTGCTCTTCTGATTGCTCTGCTTGGCTGCCAGAGTGCTGCCACCTCTTTTTCTTGTGTGAAGAGAACCTTAAAGAATGAAGTTGTGAGCAAGCTGGACAGAAAGTGGATGCTGTTATATAAATCAATATTTTATTTGGAGAAAAGTGTTGGTGCTCCAAATTGGAAAATTATCATGTGTACACCTCCCTGGTAAAATTGAAGAGAGCAGGAGAATGTTAAGAATATGAAGAATTATTAATAACTACAGAGAAGTTAAAGGTGAAAATTGTTTTATGAAAGAATAAATAAAACACTCAAAGTTTTGTTTTCCTTCAAGTGAATTTGTGCAGGCTGGATTGGGTGAGAATTGGTCATTGTTGAAGGAGAAACTGCAAAATGCCCAGGACAAGAGTAGCTGATTTTCTTGCAGTCAAAATGCTGCAAGAATTACAAATACTGGAGCTTAGAGGAAAGTTCTTGTGGCAGGGAATAATTTCTGCACATTGCAAAGTGTTGCCATGCAGTTCTGTGACACAGAAAGTGACATCAGATACCCTAGAGATCCCTTTGTGGGAAGAAATTTTTTCACAAAAATAGGGGTAATTTTTGTGTAAAAGGTTCAGGAGGAAAAGTGAGATGTGGCACACTTAAACTTTCCAGACAGATGCAGAATTGTGCCATGTGTGCAGTAATAGAGAATTTACATCTGCATAATTCATTTTGGATTTTTGTTTTTGAAGTTGGGATTGAAGGTCCTTGAGATGATACTCTGTGTTAAGATTTAAATGCTTATTTTTAAAATTTATATTACAGTTTGGTAGGTAGTGAGTTTTGTATTTAGTATCTTACTAATAAGGTAACTATTTTTTGTTATAAGGTTTTTTAAGGTTAAACTATCTAATTAAGAAATGATACTTAAATTGTTTTTACTTTTAACTTAATAATTAATTCCTTCAAGTCCACAATGTAGACTTTTCTAATTACAAAATCCTACTCAAACTTCTGAAGGAGAAGGTGAAGAAGCTTTTGTTCTAAAATTTTTATTTGTTTCATATATATTACGATACTTTAAAACCCTAAACTCGAAGTTTTTTACTTTGTGATATTACATGCTACTTTTAAGTTAATAATGAATTACTTGAAGTCCACAATGCAGGCAGACTTTTCTGTCTAATTACAAAACACTACTCAAACTTATGAAGAAGGACCAGCTCTCCTGCTAAAACTTTTATTTGTTTCATATATATTACTATATTTTAAAACCCTAAACTCGAAGTTTTTTACTTTGTGATATTATATGCTACTTTTAATAATTAATTACTTGAAGTCCACAATGCAGGCAGACTTTTCTGTCTAATTACAAAATCCTACTCAAACTTGTGAAGAAGAAGCTTTTGTTCTAAAGCTTTTATTTGTTTTCTATCTATTACTGTACTTTAAAACCCTAAACTCTTAAGTTTTTTACTTTGTGATACTACATGCGTTGAACTAAACTATACACTTTTAATTTTAGTGTTTTTAATTAATTTTGGAAGCCTTCCTTATGGCTTCAGGTCAAATTAATGTTTTCTTGGGAGTTAGGGTCTGTTAGTGCAGAAAGTCTAAAATTCTCAGTATCTAGAGCTCTAACAGTGCTGTGCTGGGCTTTGTAGAGATCTGAAACCAGAACTTTGTGGGTGTGAGAAAAACCAAGTAGGAATTAATTAGTAGGAATTAATTAGACTTTGGAGCTGTACTTTTTCCTTCTCTCTTCACACGTGGGGAGTGAGTTTGTTTTGCCTTTTGGTGCCTTTTTCTGTATCACAGAGGTTCCTGGGCGTGTTATCAAAGTGAGATTTTCCACAATTTCTGTTTGGAGAGTCCCAAGACTGACAGAGGCAGTTGGGGATTGGGGAGATCTGACAAAGCCAAAGACCAACAGGAGTATCCTGTGCAAACTTCCTTAAATTTCTCCAGAAATTCCTGCCACCATCTGTGTGCTGTAACTCCCTTTTGTCTCTCTTTTCTTTATTTTTTTTTTTGTCTTTCTGTCCTTACTTTCTTGCATAGAAGCTGTAAGATGATACCTTCCTAGTCCAAGGGCATCCCTTGTGAAACAATTTCATATAGAACACAAATTAAGACATCACCATTGTTAAATATTCCCATTGTAAGTTTGGGAGCAAAGAGGAGCCATTATTTTCATACAGCTTATGTATTTTTAATCCATCCCTCCTGTTCCTTTCCTGCTTCCATTGAACATGTTATTCCCCAGGCTGCAAGGGTTCTTTTCTTTAGAGGAGTGTATAAATAAAGACTTAAACAAAACTGGGTGGTCTTCAAAATGCATCTCTTAGAAACAGAGATGGCAATGGCGACTTAAATAAAAAAGGTTAAATTTGTTCATTACTGAAGACTTGGAGGCACCTTCCAATTCTCAGGAAGTTGTTTTTCTTTGGATTACACTCCCTGTTTTGTT